GTCGGCTGGACCTCCCATTTCGCAGGCCTAAAATTTGAAAACCCTGGAACAGAGGTGGAAGTGGAACATAGCATCTTGTAGAGCAGACAATTCTCTTTCGAATGGTATATGACACGATGTAAAAGCATGGGGATTTAGATGAAATTTTTTGGTTGAAAAAAAGCTACTTATGAGACAACCTAATATAATATTAAACACTCTTTTTGAGTCTGGTTGATGCGTCGTTTATAGTTTTACGGAGCGGTGTCCATGTGACTAAAGAAACGCTTGTACAATGTAAAGGCATTATATTTGATGGCTGAGATGGTAAGAGAGCGGTTTTGATGACGTTGTTCCGTCATTAGTGTAAGAGCAGTGGGGGATGTGGTCGGAACCTCTCCTACTCCCCTCCCTTTTCTCAATTCTTTTGACTGGTGACGCTCTCTAACACTCTCAGCCACCATACCCACTGCCGTTTATTTAATGGTCTCTGGTAATAATTTTAAAGAGTCTTCTTGTTTTCAGTCTCAGACGGTCTCACTTGTGGCTGAAATATCGTTGCTAGATGTTTTCTCTGATGTCATATCCAACTGTATATTCGGTGTTCTTGGAAATCTCGGTCGTCATGCGAACAGATTCTTCAGAGAGTTTTACGAAAACGTTCCATTACCTGCCATGCTGCTTATGACCGTAACTTTGGTCTGTTGTTAACTCTGGATTTTGCTTGCTATCTACTCATTTTGTAAAAGCTTCTCCTTCCAGATTTTCACAACTGTTCGAATCAAAACTCCTTTATTCACATTTGAACCCTTGCGTAAGTACTTTTTATTAAACGAAGATGAGTAATTAACTAAGTGGCAAATAACGACGTCTTCTTTTTAGTACTTTCGACCATACGTTACACAGCCGGCACCGTTGCTAGATGCGTCGAAGGTTCCGCAGTAGTGAGTCAAAGTGTGGAGCAAAATCGTCGAAACAAAGCAATTCGAGGTTTGGAGTCAAGAAGTTTTTTGCTTGGTTAGGTGGTCGTAAGCAAGGTCAACCCTGACGTCAGGCCGATTTCAAATTTTTTAAGGCCCTCACCATCCCAAAGATCCTCCTCCCTTATTATAGTCATAAGTAGTTATACTTGTATGGTTATATTACGATTATATTCATAAAAACGCAATAAAAAACAGATGAGCCTACCGCTCTCTATCGAATTCTAAAATTTCCTTCACATGCAACTTTAGGCGGTGAGATTGGATTCGAAATAGAATTTCTCAGTACTCTGTGGATGGAGGGGAAGGGACGGTGGGGGTATGCTGAGCAGGTTTTCGAGGAATAATGTTGCCCACTTACTCCGGAATTTGGCCTTCATAAATGGACTCCGTGGTGGGTAGCATAAT